GATGATGAAGAAATTAAGAAACTAATATTAAGTTCTTTTTTCTACTGAAGTGAGAGAAAAAAAGGCCAAGCTTTGAGTAGAAGTGCACCCAACTACTGTATATCTAGCTGGTAACGCTCAACCTCATGCACAAGCTCTAGGTCCAGTTACATTCCATGTCCCCAGCGCTAGTCTATGCTACCAGGAAACAGAATGGCCTGGGACCCACCATTGCCTGATACCAGACATGCGCTGCACCCCTGCAGGTGGTGGGTCCACATGGAGTTGGCCTCATGTAGTCCTTTCAGACTTGACCCGACCGAGCCCCAGAAGACAAGGCTCGACCACCAGGTGCTTACTTGTGAGCTCCCTGCCCCCAGGCCTGGCTCCAGGGAGGTGCCCCGGTTTCCCTTCTCCAGACGAGGTTTCCTGATGCAGTTGATGTTCCCTTTCATCAAGAGTTCTGCACATTTTTAATCTTCCTTAACCACGCAAATCTCACTGATATCACAGATCTCTTTTGCAAGTTAATGTACACTATTTTTGTCTGTAGGAAGAAAATCAGAGTACCTGGAGAAAACCCACACAGGCATGAGGATTACGTGCAAACACCACACAGAAAGACCCCAGATCCAAACCTGGGATTGAACCCAGGATCTTTTTGCTGTGAGATCTCAGTGCTAACCACTGTATCATCATACTATATAAGATAGCCACCGCAGCTAAATGACCTTGGTCAACGTAAAAATGGCTACAAATCAGTCAGTTTTATAGATGTTAACATTTGATGTGGTAGTAGCTGAGAGTCATTCACAACACATTCTCTGACRTCACGTAATATTGCATGATATTGTGCGTTATTTTCCAAAACTAAAACAGCTACAACTCCATCACTTCTCAACAAAAGATCACCTTAGTTTAACACTATGTCATGAAAGGCAGCAAGGGATATTTATTCCTCGAAAAAATGTCTTAAATTAAACTAAAATCAGTACTTACAGTCTAATTCATTGTCTTTGTCCACAAACTTCAGAGAATCGTTTGGGTTTGTAACACTTCTGTGGAGCCGAAGCYAGAGTCTGTGTCGGAATCTGAATCGGAGTCGGAGTGGAGCTGTTTGATCCCATTTCTGCTGAATCTCATGTGGAAAAACAAACAAAAAAAATAAGCGTAAGAGGAAATAAAGGGAAATAAAAGGAAATAAAGTTAGAGAGACCAGATTGAGATGGACATGTCCACAGGAGGGACAGTGGGTTTATTGGTAGAAGGATATTAGAGATGCAGCTGGTTGGGAAAAGACAAAGAGGAGACATAGAGGAGAAGGAGGACAGAGAGAGGAGGAGGAGGAGCGATCTCTGATGTTTTAACTTCAGGAGCACAGCTCTCAGTCAGACATGAGTTTGTACAGCAACATGAAATTCTGTAAACTGAAACAAGACAAAAGCATCTTAATTGTATAAAAAAGATTGCACACACTCGATTTGAGCAGATTTTCCAAATCAAATAAAATATGTTCATTAACACAACTGCAGTAAAGTACACCAATAAAGGTAGAACCAGATAAAAAAAATTACATCTGAGTTCCTTTAAAAACATTTTGCACAGAGAGGTGAATGACAAGTCCTCRACCTGTCTGCTGGGGTTTAACACCMCTGATGGTATTTTAGGTGATTTCCAGATTTAACCTGACCTGACAGCTGAGGTCTGGTTAAACAAAGAAACACACCAATACAGGAAGTGAAAAGAAATGACATCATACTGTTCATGGTTTGTGCCAAACTTTGAACTGACTTCTTGGTTTGCATTGTTTTCATTTTGATCTGAGGAAAACCAGCTGACCAAGGACTTCTGAGAAATGCAGACCTTATTGTAAATCATGCTGGTAAAGTGAGTATTTTCATAAAACCAATAAACATTTGAAATTTAGTTAACCTTGAATCAGAAAAACTAAATACTGATAAAAATTGTGTTTTGTAAAATAAATTCTTATTTTACAGCACAGATTATTGGTGAATAATCTGAACTTTATTTATAAATGAACAGAATCCTGGTTTAGTTTAGGGTCAAATAGCTGTTTTCTTGATCCTGTGTTTGATCAGATCAGCGTTAGGTTTAAAAAGAAAAAAGATAAATTGCAGAGAGAATAAAACTGATTCTAATTCTGTGATGCAAAAGGAGTAAAGCAGGAAATCAAAGAAAAACGAACACAGATTTCTCATTTTAACAAAAAATCCTTTAATAAAAAATATAAGTGAAATAATAAACTACAACACAGGGATGTGGCACATTTTCTGTACAAACATGACTCAGCTGAAATATTTAATAAATTCACAAAGTTCTTGCAAAAGGATATTTTTACTTGAAACAAGCTCCAAACTTAAGGGCCTTTCATTTAAATAAAAARGTCATTCATATTTATAGAAATAGCTGTCAGCTGATTCTTTTTGTGATGTTTATTGATGCTAAAGAATTGCAAATGCAACTAAGATTTTATGAAAATCACTGGTTTTGTAACAATGAGCATTAAAAAATGATTGTTCATCACTATTWTAACATGTGMATAATGTCTCTTATCATAGATTATATTAAATATAGTTATAGAAATTTGTCCAACATTTAAAGATAACTTGACAAATTTAAGGCTTACTCTGAAAGAAAGAGATCCAGATTGCACAACTGTTTGAATCATGTAAAGGTTGAATTTTAAATTWATTTGACAAATGTTCTCCAGCTGTCAAACCACAAAACATTTATTTAACTTTTAAATTAAAAAACAGCAACATTAATAGTAAGCCTACCAGCAGTCAAAGCTAGACTCTTCTAAGTAAAAACAACAAACAAACAAACAAAAAAAAAACCATGCAGTTAGTGTGAAATATTTACAACCAATGTAGGTGAAACTGCATCTCAGGAAAAGAAACAGGACGAGGAGCAACTTGCTGCACTGTTTTAGCAGGAAAAGGCAGGCATGTCAGGAACGGTTATAATTTACACAAATATAAACTGTCGTAACACTAAAGAGCATAAAACCTTGTCAGTGTTTCATGTTCAGAACACAATGCCTTCTGATTATRGAACATTTCAACAGAYGAGCTTCTTTTCCAGGGGTTAACAAACAGAACTCAGAGGAATTTTCTCGCGGGACAAAGCGTTATTTCTTTTTCCACACAGGGACTGAAGTCTGTCTGGGGGCGACGCCGCTGGTGCAGGGTTCTGAGAGGCGACTTGTTTTTGAGCACTCGGCAAAAGTTTTCAGGCACACGAAACAAAACTTGATCTTGCATCGAGGACAGGTGAGGTGTTTGCAGTGGGTTTGTTTGTGCTCCAGCAGCGAGCCACAGGTGGGACAGGCTCGGATGGAGGGGCACATGGTGGCCACTTTCACGGGCGCAAAGAYAATGTCCGGGCAGGTTTTCAGCGTTACCAGAGCCGAGTCGCAGCAGCCGGTGTTTCCACAGCGGTCTGAGCGAGGCTTTCGGCCTTTCCACTTCCTCAGACACTGCCAGCAGAACTCATAGCAAACTCCTTTCTTTGCCGTGCAGACTTGGCAGAGGACACAAAGATTAAGCTCGCTCTGTCTCACAGTTCGRGTCTGACACTGAGGACACTGAGAGGTGGAACAGTGAAGCCATGTGGTTAGCATGCAGAACAAGAAATATTCAAAAGAAGCTGCTAAAATGAGACKTACCTTTCTGCTCTCAGCAGAATTGACAGCCATGGTTTTCTCAAAGTGTTTGATCTCCTCGGGGGTTAGGAGAGCCATTTTACGGACCTCCGCGTAAGACCACTCAGCACCACAACCAAACTGTCCACACACAAATTTAGTTTCACCCTGTAAAGTGTTGAATTTTTTAAATAATTAGAGTCACATTTCAATTACAAGCCTTTACAAAAACAAGGGTTTGAAAGTGTAAAACACATTTCCGGCGCTCTTGTCAGCATGTTTTCATGTGACCACATGACGTTCATCACGTCAGTACCTGTTCCAGCTGCTGGAGACACCATTTTGTGAGAGACATCGGGGTCACAGCGTGACCACAGGACATCTGAGCTCTCAGAGACGGGAAGCCTTCACACAAAACTGAAGAGAAACACAGCAAATATTATGCAATAGCTATGAGTCAAAGTTTTATATGTTGCTCAGSTAGTCCTCCTAAACTCAACTAGCTGGGGGAAATTAAACCTGCACAACAAGCAATGGTTTAAGATCAGGAGAATAAGGATGCTTTTGCATTCACAAGGTCTGCATATTTACATTAGCCCATCTGGAACACAAAGACCTGGGGTTCTATTTTGGACAGGCTGACAGACGTTGGCTCAGTGGTCTGGTTGTACTTGCAACACAAACAAGCTAACATTAGTTAGAAAAAAATATATATAAGACCTAAAAGCTAATCTCTTTGGGGATAAAAAAAGGTCTAAGTTGAACAAAGTTTAAAAAAATGTGCAGCAGAAAATGTTATCAAGATGCAGGCTCTCAGGAGGTTATGTGGTTACAAAATTATATAAATGTCATTTAACTAAAATGTTTCAACTGGTTGTGACTGTGCTTTTTTTCAATATCAACAGTGAAATAAAAACTAAACTAAAGCTTAACTTCCGTATATCAGTAATTTTCAAATGGTTTTGGTTTTCTGAAATCCTCTTCTGTCTTTTGGTTTTGGTGAACCACCCTAAGATTCTTGAGGCCCCCATCTGGGCCCCCTTTGAAAACTTTCTGGAGGCACACCTGTAGAAGGAACCCACACTATTCCATTAGACTGTACCCAGTTTTAACTAATATAAATGGATTTTTTTGAGTAAATAGTCAAGTAGAAGCTGCTTACAGTCTAAATCGTCCTCTCTGTCGACAAATGTCAGCGTGGTATCTTTTGGGTCGTAACACTTCTGAGTCTGGGGAGTCGAGTTAAACATTCCCATTTTTCTGTGCATCGATCTAATGATGGAAAAAAACASAAACATTAAACATTTTCATTTTCAGGAGCACAGCTTTCAGTCACACATTGGTGAGAACAGCCAATTTTAAATCATTAAAAGTCAAACAAAGTTGCTCAGATCTGATACATTTAGGTTGCGCTTGAACACATCTTTTTTGTATCTGGTGCTGTGCGAATTTCAGTTCCCCTGTGAAAATCTGTTCCCCCTAGTTGTTAACCTTTTGAGGGAATCACTACGTACTACGGTGTACATTTTAGGACATCCTCAGTTTTAGTTGTCAGTCATCAGTTGTCAACAAAAAAGTTCTCCGTTTTAGTTGTCAGTAATCAGTTGTCAACAAAAAAGTTCTCCGTTTTAGTTGTCAGTAATCAGTTGTCAACAAAAACTCTGTTAGTCTCACTGGTCAGTTTCAGTTTCATTTGTCAGTTTTCCTTTTTACTTGTCACTTTTGAGATGAAGTGCTTTTGAACAAATGCTTCTATCTCTGTTATCAGTTTATTTATTTATTATTTACATTTTTTTGGCGCCTTCTGGAACCTGATCACCGCTACTGCCTATTGGAGCTGACGAGACGTGGGGCCGCATCTTAGAATGGTCGCCCGTTCCAC